TATCGATTGCCAGCTGGCAGTGTTGTTTATGGTGATCCAGTCCTTCAGGTATTGGGCCAAAGACGTTAGAAGAGCCCATCTCAGGAGGTGAGTAGATGTTGCCATGCCCCGATGATGAGTTTGTTGTATTGATTGATTTTCTGTTGTTTGGTTGCTGGCATTAGTATAATTTTGTTTTTACTGTTTTATGCCACCTAGAATCGCGTTTTTGGAAGTTGGGCAGCTATATAAATCTTTTAAGGAAATGAATTAATGTTCAGCCTGCATTGTAAGTAACACAGTAATCATATTGCAAATGTCAATATGATTACAACGATATAATAATATTCTCTGTTCTGGGGACTATCATGAAAAGCCTGCACTGAATGTCTGCAAATCTCTGAAGACAGAGAATGAAACCATAGTGACCAAACTTCAGGGCTCTGCACATTAATCTCATTCTATGTGAGGGAGTGCGTCCAAAGGAAAGATCCATTACACAAAAGGGATGGGCAGCGAAGGGGGCGGGTGGGGGGAACTGTATTGCAGTGATCGCTTCCTAAGGGCCATAGCTCAGTGGCAGAACATCAGTTTTGCATGCTGAAGGTCCCAGGTTCAATCCTCTATATCTCCAGGTAGAGCTGGAATCCTCAGAGAGATCAGCACATTTCAGGTTAAAGCAGATCTTTGCAATTTCCATTTTAAATCAAAACCTGCATTCTTCACCCTTGCTGCCTTTCATTACTGTTAAGAAGTAGGTGTCCTCTAGATCTCATTATCATTCACTGCTGTGAATTAATGGGCAAGAAGAGAAACACTTCCAATATATACAAAGAGATCGTTTAAGAATTCTGATGTCCATCATGCACAGTCTCATACAGGAGAAATCAAGGTATCTGAAAATATGCTTTGGGGGATCCAAAGGAAGTTCCTCTAAAGCAAGATGAGCAGAACAAATAACTGAGGGGAAGAGCCAAGCAGAACAAAAAACAAAGGTGCAAATGTTAATCGGGGGCTGTGAAGAGTATAATGGGTTGTACAGAAGCTGAGATAAAGCTGTCCATAAAAAAAGCAAGCTGAATAGGTCTTGATGCCTTTAACAGGCAGCTTCATTCTTTATAGTCAGAAATTCTGGCTCCCCTGAGGAAGCCCCAGCTTCCGTTACTCTGGAATGCAAAGACCTGTCAGGAAGCCCCATTAATCAAAATTACCTAGAGTGATTCAACATCCCAAGCAAGAATTTTTCAGAAGGGTGTCATGTGAATTCTGGAACCTGCAGAGACAAGGGCAAGTCTAATGGGATTGCCCACTAGGCTCAAGAGATGATGAAAAACGGTTAAGCTAAAATTAGCAGCAAGTTTGACTCTATAGTAGTTTGGCGAGTTTAAGAACTGGCATTTCCTACTCCACTTTGGACGTTTAATGAACATAGGAAAGCTTAAGAAATAATAGAGCAGTGATCAATGTATGCTGCATCCCTTTCAGTTTTGCATGGAAATATCAGATTGTACTGTTTTATAGTTCTGGGGCATCACTATTAACCCATTTTCCCTCCTCTATATCTGATGAATTGAGCTCTAGCCTACAAATGCAAAAGGCACTTTCTGTTAACTCTTAAAGGACACATTACTCTTGGTCAGCAAGCTGTTCTCCAAGTGTATCATTGGCAGTAGGCAGGTGAATGCATGTAAGCACACCTTATAGCAGTGTTGTCCAAACCTGGCCACTTTAAGATGAGTGGGCTTCAACTCCCAGAATTCCCCAGCCAGCCAGAAGTCCACTCATCTTAAAGTGGCCAAGTTTGGACAACACTGCCTTATAGCTTTGGTTGTTTCAACATCAGCCAGACAGAGGCAACTGGACATGCAGATCATTCAACAAGCCATCCACCCATAGACACCTCCATTCCACCCAGCCATCAATAGACACTTTTCATTTGGTCATATCTGAAGGGAGCAATGAACAGTCTGTTGGGGGGGGGGATAGCCCTGAGTCCTACAGAAAGTTTCTACAAAAAAGGCGCACTTTTGGAGAACTATCACATGAGGTACCTCTATGTAAGTTTTCACACGTTTCATTGCTAATATCCTCAACCCTCATTAACTAACATAGTAATTTTCTTGAAAGGTATCTATTTTGAATGATTTATCCTCAGGGAAAGAAATTCTTCATTCTGGTTGCTGATACATTTATGTGCTTAGGGTATATGTTTGTGGAGGATCAACATGAAGCCATTTTGTGAATCTGTTGTTTCTGCAGCTTGATTTAGTTGAATGTAAGCATCTGTGTAGAACTACAGTTGACCTGCATATCTTTTAGGAACCATGAATTTATAACTGAGAAGGGAAGAGATAAAATAACAAATTGTAGAGGTGGAAGAGGTGCAAACAAGGCCAGTCATGAATGATCCAAGGGCAAGTCCTCTGTGAAGAATGGTTATTATGCTTGGCATTATCTAATGTAAATGAAAAGAGTATGAAATTTGATCAAGATTTAGAAAAGTATTTTTGGTGTAAGGAAAATGGACAATGAAAAATGTAATACGTTCCCTTGTAAGGCTAGGATTTGGGAGCACACAATGAAATTAATTCACAGTAAATTTGAGAAAGACAAAAGAATGCTTCACACAATGCATAATGAATTATTGTTTAATTTTTTTCAGATGTGTTTGTTACTTGGAAATGCATTCACTTGACAACACTGGAAGGTCTACAGAAGCTCCTAAGATAGTTCTCATAACAGCAGTGCCACCTAGTGACATTGGTTAGAAATACCAATCCAATATCCATTTTCCAAATTTCTCTTCCCTGATGTATTGTAATTTGTAAGACCTGGAGTTGGAACAGGAACAATTTGAATGATCATCCAGAGTACTCAATACTGGCATGCCCTGAGGTGTTGAAGGACCTTCCTTGATGGCTTTATTTGTCATTTATTTACTCTGAAGTTGGAAGGAGACAGACAGGGCAAAAGCGAGGAAGGGATCGTGCTCACCACTCTCTGTGCCATTTTTTTCAGAAAAGATGTATTATTTTCTCCTGGGTCAAGTGTTGTGGAAAGTTCGGAAGGATCCTTCAGCTCCAAAATTCCTTCCTGCCACACCCTTTTTGAACCAGAAGCTGGTGGGAATATAACAATTCAATGAAAATGTTCTGCCTCTGAAGTCAGAAGTTTTTCTCAAATATCAGAGAAATCCAATGGGTCCATTTTCTATTCAGTGGTATTTACTTCAAATAAATTACATCTTAACAGTATAAGCCTGTTCCTCAAATATACCTCTCTTTCTTAACATTCCCAGAGCCTTCTCTGACCACATTGCCAATGGTTTTAGACAGAACATAGATTAAAATTCTTTATGCTTTGGAATAGGTTTAAAACATTGAACCAAGTGTTAAACCCCTCCAACCCTGTCTCAAATCCACATGATGTAGCTCTATCCTTATTTTAAAACCCAGTTAATATTTGCTTGCCTTTGATATTCCAATATCAATAGATATTGTCTATTTGGAACCAAGTCCCATTATGTTTAATGAAGTACCCAGTCCTACCCCAAGCTACTATGTTATAGGACTACAGCCTTACTGTTAAGTTGTAGTACATCAAATTAGAAGTTCCATAATTTCAATGGTGCATTCAGCTATCTTGGGCCCAACCAAGGCTTCAATGGAAAAATTCCCTGGGACTCCACCCCTGCCAATACTCTCATTGGGAAAAAATACAGGATATAAATGAATGAAATAAATGTACGTTTTGGGCAGGACCCAGAATTTGGTCTTACAATTTGCTTTGTGGCCCTCTTCCTTCTCTTCCCCACTCCTTGTCTTTACTGGTGGAATCAGCACTTAGTAAAATAACATCAAGTACAAATGTTCCTCTGTGTGCTAAGTTCCAAGGAGGTGAAGTCAATTATGCTTTAAGTTTGTGCTGTACATAAACACTATATTTGGCACCCATCATGTTTAATACTAACAGTGGAAAGCTGTTTGACTACAACCTTAGCTAACAAAATTTCTCAGAAAAGGCTGGGTACTTTTACGTAAAGGAGTCCTTGAAAAGTGTAATTTCTTTCCAGTCCATGTATTACCTTAAAGATTGTACATAAAGCCATAGCTCTCATTTGAAAAACAAGCTGATTATTATCCATGTGTTACAATATACCTACTAATTAACAGTTGTAGTTCTGGACTTGATCAAAGCTGAACATCAAATGCTACTTTCTTCCTGGTCCACTTTTTCAACCATTCTAGAAGTTGAAGCTATTTGGTCTAGGTGGCCTAGATGTCTTCTGGACTGCACTCTTAATTGCAGATTGATGGGGGGCGGGATGTATTTAGATTCACCCTGATGGTATGGTAGCCATCATAGAGAAAATGTACAGCACTTCAGCTGTTCCAATTCTCCCTTTAAGAAATCTTCTCTTAAAAACTGTATATAAAGTGTAAGAAAAGTTCTCATCCCCCACTGGGGATATTCCATGGTAAGTATTTAAGGAGCTAAACAGACATGCAGAACAAAAAAAGAGAAGGGTAGTTAAATAGTTCAGAGGCAAATCCAGGGGCTGTTTTGAATAGACCAGTACTATGTTATAAATGGTGGATGGAATTGCACTGAAGAAATCAAGCTGCAGAGATGGCTCCAGCCTTAGTCACACTAGGTCACTGTTTGTTTAACCATGGCTTCTGAAGCAAGTACAACGTCTGAATTCACTTAAAATGCTATGCCCAAACCAAATAAACTACAGGCTTAGTATGATCTATGAAACCCATCACAGAGATTGAAATTGAAATAAAGAGACACGTTAAGGAATGGGTCTGCTCTACTTTAGAGCCGGCCATTATTCTCACGCCACAGCAAACCTAAACAAAGTAGGCTACAGTGTAAATACAATTCACGGTGAGTCTTTACTTGTTACATGAATTGAACTAGTGCACCACAAGATTTCACCTCCAGCAAGTTGTTCTACATATAAGATGGCAAGCATTATATAAACTACCCAGAGCTTTCTGTCAGCCTAAAGCCTATCATGAGTTGTTATGGCATAAACTTTTGCTAGTGGAGTTCATCATCTTTCTTATTTGGCTGAAATACTTTCCAATTTAACTTGGCATTTTTGAGCTTACTGCTCTTTTGATCCCTTGCTTGGTTACCTTCACTCTCTAATCTGGAAAAGACCTAATTTGGAAGGGAGGAAGACATTCCCTTCATGAGGCCTTCTGTTGTGATTTGGAGTACAATCCCAGAGTTGGAAGGGACCAGTTAGAAGAAAGAGATGCGATAGAAGCTGCAGCTCTTGGAGAAGATGGCTACTTAATGAAAGACAAAACACATTCCTGGTCAATTTATAACTGAGTTAAAGGGAAGCACCCTGTGCCAACTCCCTATGAGAATTTCACTAGCATTTTCTTCTCCCTGGGGGAAAAATTCTTTTCCATAAAATTAAATGAGAATGTTTAACGAAAGCAGAACGGGGGCTCCACAGAGACCTAATTCCTGCATTCCTTCACATCTAACTCTAAGGAGTCTCCATACAATGGATGATCTGGAGACAGGTGTTTTAGCCTGGAGACCATCCTGAACAAACTCAAACATTCCCAGAGGAATGTAGTGTATCCTAGATCATAATGGAACCCCCCATTCTGCTGGTTTGAATATTCTTCCAAACTTCCAGTGTGAATACTTTACCACACAATATACATTATTTGCCCTGAGACAATTGGGGTAAACAGAGCATAAAGTGATATATATGTTGGCCATGTTGCATGCATCAAGAGCAGCAGCTCTCTGTATTGGTGTGAACTATGAAAAAAAGATGATGCACAGACAAAGTCTGACTCTCTGAAGATGGGTGGTTTTTATTCCTGCCTGTCCAAATAGGCCCAGTTGGTCCAAGAACTCTTTACCACAAGCAGGGGAGGGTAGAACATTAAACATTTCTTTTAAAGAAGTTCCCAGATCTTTCAGTAAGAAGAAAAAATTGCTTTCCAGTTGGAGATATTTCAAGGATTGTAGAGGACATAAAGCAGGAATAGACAACAGGTTGATTTGGAATCTTCTGGCAGTATTGTGGAAGTGGCCTGCCATTTCCTTCTTCCAAGAAGTTCTGCAGTTAAATCTGCAGGTTCAACAAAAATCTCTTGCCATGCCTCACTTTGTGCAAATCACTAACCTTTCCCTCCCAAAAGTTATTCGCCTATAGAACATGAGTTCTGCTTACTGAGTTTAAGGATGGTTTATGGGTGATTAGCTCCATTCTGTGGCCACCATGTGATGGCCTCTGCCCGTGGTATTATTTTGCATCTAGCTTCATATGGCGGTCCTTGTAGTAGAAACATCTATCACTAACATAAAACTTTTAGTAAAAAAGAGTGTGGCTTAAGAGGAAAATTCTTTTCCCTGTGTTATTCTTGTAATTCAAATTGAAGACTTGGCAGTGGTTTTGCATAAAATAAAACCATCTCCAGAGAAGAAAATAGGACTGTTGGAGAGGCAGCAATTACAAGAGGACCAAAGTCTTTTCTTCCTCCAGGTAGAGAAATAAACCCTGGACTGGTTCTCTGTTTTTAATAGTAAAAAAGGAGCAGTAACAAAATGGGATGGAGCTGGCAACTGATAGAAAAACAAAGGCCTGGGGACTCGACCTGGATCCCAAATACGCCCATTTTTTTTCTCTTGTTGCTTCACTTTTCCTGCTTCCCACTGTCAATCATTTTAAACAACAGAAGTGCAGCCAGAGATTAATCTGGCTAGTGTTTTGCAAGAGAGTTCTGACTCTGGAGCACATTTGAGCTTCATTAATTCGTCCCACGTGAGTTGGGTGGGTGGGGGCAACAAACCCGGCCATCTTGGCAATGCTCTTCTTTTTTGCCCCGATGGGCTACCTTTGGTCAGGCAGGCCACATTAAAATTCTTTAAAGCTGCAACACACAAGGAAATAGCGTTAGAAATGCCGTCAGCTCAGGCAGCATCAGTGTGCAGAATGGATGGCTATCGTTCCAAACGCTTTTTGGGTGGGACCCAGACAGACAAGTATCTGAAGTTCTTCCCAGCTTGGACTCTATTTGGAATATGGACAAAGGGTTTGGGATGCCAAGAACTGCATGGTTTGAATTCTGTGTTGGGTCAATCAGTAATTTTAAATTTATTTGGGATTTCATTTAAACTGTCTTATGTACACTACTTCCCTAAATAGACCACTTAAAGGACATAATAATGAGTGATTGACTGATTACGTGCCATCAAGTCATTTTCGACTCCTAGCAACCGCATTGATATCTTTAAATAATAATACTAATAATAGAAGCAGTCATGCAAGCTAATCATGAATTCAGGTTGCAGGTTATGATCCTTAGGTAGCCAAAGCTGCAGGGGTATCATCAGGAATCACCTGGCTTGGGGACGCCCTAAAATTTGCAAAAAGATATCCATACACCCAGATTCTTTGCAGAAAAAATCGAAGAGGACTAATATCAGTGAAGTCAGGAAATACCCAGTGTCCACAAATACTGGCTGACGGTTGGAGAGATGAAAATAGGGAATGGGAGGGACAACTGAATAGAGGATCCAGGAAAAGGGCATATGTAGCTGGACCCTGAAAAGAAGGAGCAGTCCACACTAACATTCATTTGACAATGGTATTATTATTGTTGTTGGTCGCACAGTCAGCCAGATGTTTAGACTGGATGATGATGATGATGATGATGATGATGATGATGATGATTAGGTTCATCTAAAATTCGATTCCCAGTCAAAGGCTGGTGAAAACTTAACAATTCAAGTCCTAACCAAGGACCTAAGAATTATTAAGTAGTGTCTGAGGATATAGGCAGTTCCAAGCAGGGTATGTATGTACAGTATGTGTGTGTGTGTGTGTGTGTTTGTGTGTACATATGTGTGTGTGAGCAAACTCAGGGAGGCAGTGAAGGACAGGAAGGCCTGGCGCAATATGGTTCATGGGGTCATGAAGAGTTGGACACGACTTAACGACTGAACAAAAAACAAGAAGTGTGTGTGTGTATTGTAAAATTAGGGTGTTCAGGTCCAATAAATTCAAAATTTCCAAATATCAAGGGAGTCTTTTAGGAATTGCTCCAAGGGCTCCAATCACAATTGGTATAACAGCAGATTTATTTTTCCATAAGTCTTCAACTTCAATCTACAAATCCCGGTATTTTGTAATTTTTTCCGATTGCTTTTCCTCAATCCTAGCATCACCCAGCACAGCAACATCAATGAACTAGACTTCTTCTTTTCAATGACTGTTGTTGTTGTTGTTACTGTATTGTTATACATGGCATGAAAAGACCTGGATTTAAAATCTCCATTCAAACATTAAACTCCTATGTGAAAGAGAACGTCTCAGGATCCCAGCCAAGGCCAAATGTTGCCATTCACACATCCTACTCAAGAGTCACACCAGCATTTTAGGGTTAGCATTCAAGAGGCAGGAAAAGAACATGTCAGAAGGTTGATGTTAAGTTCTTCCTTTACTAAGAAAAGAGTGCAGAAAGCCAAGAACTCTAACCATTGTACAGGGCTCTTTCTCCACTCTCTCAGACCTCTTGATTTTTCTCCACCACCAGATGCTCAAGAAATAAGAGTCCCATTTATTATAAGAAGGTGTAGAAGGCCAAGAACATCTTTAACTATTGGAACCAAAGACACCCAAAACCAAGAGACTTATCAAGGTACACCAGGGGCTTGAAACAAGGACTTACCAGGATTTATGGCCCCAGAGCATGCCTGTTCAAAAAATGGTGATTGACCTGTAAATATAATCAACATAAAGTGGACCCAAGTTTCTTGGAGCAAGTTGAGGAAGAGTGTGCATTAGATACTCAGCAGGGCTCCATGCTTTTAAAGTAGTGGTTCTCAAAGGTCGTGCATACTGTCCCCAGGAAAGGGCATCTCCCATTGTCGCCTGTCTGTTCCATGCACATTCCCCCAAGCAACATCTTGTAGGAACTTGTATGTTTGCCAAGGCTGAGCTCTTGACCTGTTGGCCTGCTTAGGCTAGTGACCCTCAAATGCAGGGTCTTTTCTTTGGTGATGCCTTGCTGGTGGATTACCTTCAAACCAGAAACAGGGCCTATTTAGTAGCTGGGCCCTGATTTAAAGAAGAGCTTTAAAACAGCTGTTCCTACACTAAGGACAATAGCCAGAGTTAAAAAAAGAGAAAAGAAGGAGGGGATATGTGGCCATCACTGTTTCTAGTAACCAACACAGGGAATGAGTGCTGGCAGAAGTATGATGGAAACTGCTGGGTGTTGTTTTTGAGTCAGGCAATATAAAAATATAAGAAACAAACAAGCATAAGCCAAAACAAGATCACTGATGAGCAAGAAGGAAGGATTCTGATGCATGCAAAAATCTCATTCTCCCTTTCTTCCTTCCATCTCCCTTTTGCAAGGGAATTGCAACCCACCTCCAAACTCCCAACCATGCTTAGTAGACACCGATTATTAAGTAAAGATAGAGAACAGGACTAGAATGGAAGACACATGGCTGTCTGGCTTGAACCCTGAACATTAACATGATTAGGAGGTGAGGATATAGTGCAGCAGATACCCATAGTAAGATGCAGTAGGTTTTTGAAGTTCCTTAGTGTCCCCTAGGATAGAAGACATTCTGTAATAGCCAGCATGAAGATTGAAGGCCAAGCAAGAATGGAACACGTACATGATTGGGAAGTTTGATAATTAGGTTGGCCGTGTCTAAATATCTAATCCAACCAGGACATTATCTTCCATAACGATGGTCCATTCCTTTCTTGGGAGGCTCAATGTTGAGAACCACTGCTTTAAACTGCTCAATTTATTCATCTCAATTGCACACACAGACAATAAAAAATCAATATTCTTTGTTAGGTGATTTGTTAGTACACAAAGCATAATCATGGAACTACTGATGATTGTGCAGACAAAGCCAAGTCCATGGTAATGCTGATTGTTTCCCAAGATGTCTTGCTGTGAAGTTTCCTCAGCTTGAAATTCATTGAATTCATTAATTTATCTCTAGATGAACTAATTAAGGGGCTTAGTAAAGAAGGAGACCAGCATGTGAATTTTATGCCATAGGCATGGCTTGGATTATCCTTCCCGAAATTCATGCCCTCCAACCATTGGACTTTTAGCACTCATCCCCAGCCAGCATGCTGGTTAAGATTTATGGAAACTGAAGCTTAATACATCTGTAGAGCAACAAGTTGGGAAGGATGGTTTAGCAAAACAAATTACCTGAAAATTGTGATTTACTCAAGTGAGTTCTATGCTGAACTCAACATTTTCAGACTTGTGTGGAAAATACAGTAGCACATCTGACATCATTACATTGTTGGGGAAAAAACTACTATCAAATGTGCATATTATTTCAGGGCTGGACATGGCTTTCTTGCTAAGAACACTGAACGTTGCTTTATAACTGGTCAAACTCTTTTTTCATTTAGCTTAGCACTGTCTATGCCAGAACTCCCCAAATCTTGGCACATCTTCTGCCATTCTAGCTTGTCCTTTGCATTTTTTTAAATACAAGTAGGCCACCAAAAGTATATTTTGCTCACAGAATTAGTGTGTTGAATACTGTCCAACTTCCCTCTACAACTGCGCACTGACCTCACAGACACCACAAAGGAGAAGGAAAATTGTTGGGGCAAAGAATCATACACTGAGATTTGCACATTTTTTTTCCATTAAATAGGAAGAGAGAAACAATGAACATACTCACACACTGTAAACTATTTTGTATCCAACAGTACTGGGTGAGTTAATGCCAAACAAGCACTATAATGACACACGGAGAAGGTTACTGTTAGTATTGGTTAAGGGGACATCCCAAGGTTGGGGAGGGGAGATTTTTGTCTATCTCATGGCTAGAGAGCCAGTTTGGTGTAGTGGTGAAGGCACCATGCTAGAAACCAGAAGACCGGGAATTCTAGTACCGCCTTAGGCACAAAGCCAGCTGGGTGACCTTGGGCCAGTCACTCTCTCAGCCTTAGGAAGCAGGCCACGGCAAACCACTTCCAAAAAACCTTGCCATGCAAACTTCTGGGCCTTGTCCAGGCAGTCACAAGGAGTGAAAAACTGACTTGAAGGCACACATCTCATGGGTAAAACTCCACTTAGTTCTTTTGTACACCTTCAATATGACTAGATATTCTTCATGGTATGGCTGAAGTAAGAAAGTTCAAGCAACCAAATTTTGGCTTAAAAAGCTAAAATGAGCCTTTGCTAATGCATGAAGCAACTTTGCTTCTGCTTTAGGGATAGAAAGAAATGGCAAATTATGGTTAACAATTTTGGAATAACTCAGAATATTACAATTTCAAATCATGGTTTTACAGTCTGTCTTATTTTGAAGCTGCTGGCCATAATTTTCCAGCTTGGAGGAAACAGGAAACTAAAGCTAGTGGAAAAGATCCTGGGTGGTTGGCTCATGTGCACTATTGGAAGAGACCGTGTGCTTGGCTAGAATACTCATACATCTCTACTTAATAAGCTGGAATATGATCATTCAACTGCGATCAATAAACCTCCAATCCTAAGATTCTGAAATATTGTATGTATTCTCAGGACATCATTCATTCATTCATTCATTCATTCATTCATTCATTCATTCATTCATTCATTCATTCGATTTTGATGCCATCTGGCTCCAACCAACTGGGTGATTCACAAAGATATCACCTGTAGCTTTCCTCATCCAGCATCCTAGGATAAATTACTTCTTAACTCTACTTCCAATAAAAATAAAAAGCAACTGCTCAAACTGGACATTTGTGAGGTACTAAGAGTAAAATATGGGTGGAACTCAAAACTGTAGTCAGTATTTAAGATTGAATCCTATGCATAGTACCTAGGAATGAACCACTTCCAAATAAACATGTATTAGATTGTGCTGTAAGAGCTATTGCAGATCAGCAAAACCAAGATGGTTACAGTCTGAGCAAAAACTCCTCTTGAAGAATACATGCCTACTCCGGACTTTTGAAGCGCTAGGCCGTTGCAACATTTAGCATATGGATGTACATCCAAGATCATGCCACACATTACAACAAAACATATGTGAGCATTAGAAGGGTAGAAACAGATGCTGTTTTTCCTTATACATCAGCCAAAAGGCTACTAGCTTTATTCTCTAAAATTCAACATGCCAGCTCCCATAGCCAAGACTTTTCAGGAAAATTAATCAAAAGTGTGATTCATAAACTTGAAAATCTAGGGAATTTTCTAGTAGAACTTTTCCAAAGGATTGGAACACAGGTTATCAACACCTCTAGGAAAATGGCTTTTTCAAACACCTACCCTCTTTTTCGTGTATAGCAGCCACACCATCCACGCATTTCTTTGAACACCACTCGTGAAAGGAGCTGGAAGCAGAAGATATACTCGAAATTACCTTTTTTGAATTGTATTCAATGAATTTTGTAGGCTGTTGCAAAGGTTGACATTTATCCCATTTCATTTTAATATAAACTTACTGAATTCCTGCTTGTCAAACCATTATCTTCTATTATTGCACCTTTCCAAATGTTGTGATGCAATTCCCCAATTTGTTTTTTTTTTTAAAGCACAATTGGAGAGAATTCACATGAAACTCTAGTACGTTTGATCATAATGTATGAAAATCCATTACCATTAGGTAACCCAGCTTGTAAATAAAAAGAACGTATTAGGAAAATGGTGTATATAATGCATAAACATTTTTGTGCAGGGTTTGTGGGGGAGGTATGAAAGACAAGGTGATGCAAAACATGGACAAAATGAACTTAAGGTAGGCAAAGTAAGGAAGTGGGCAAGACCATACTTAGCTGCTCATAGTCCCTTAGCATTCATTCCAGGGAATTGCAGGAATATACCTCTTAGTTAAAAACAGATCTCAGATGTTAAATTAAGTGACAATCCTGCCTGGACATATAATAAGAAGTGCTTTCTTAAAATGATAATCTCTCTATTCCAATACTTGAGCGGCAGCAACTTTTCAAATGGAGATGTACCAAGTGAACCTGGGATGATCTGCAAGCAAAACATTTGTTGTTTCACAAGGCCAGGACTGGAGAATCCATGGCCCTTCAGATGGTGCTGAAGTAGCAGCATGGCCAATGGTGAGTGTGCTACCGATTGCACCCCTTTCTGAGCAATTGTTTGGTGCTTCATAGGCTCCCCCCTCATCCACATTAATTAAACAAATGTAACTGATTGCTAAGTGAGAGCAGAATACACCATGAAAGGTACTTACTAAACAAGCCAAGATATCAGCTGAAATCAACATGTAGAAGACATTGTCCCAGCCAGAGCTGGAGATCAAACCCGCTAGCAAGGGTCCAAGAGCAGCACCTGAAAATGGAAACCGTGCAACAGATCAGCAAACAAGGAGCCCAGCTCATGTCATGGAGATGGCCCACACCTTCCAGCATAGTGGAGTTGGGAGTCCTTGATTAGTAACTGTACCCAAGGAGGTTGGGGGGGGGGCAGGGATGGGGCATGAGGCATCAAGCATATGGCTACAAACCATGACATAAACTGCCAGGCAGGAATAAGGCCCTTAGCTAGAATTCTGAAGCAAACAATGAACAATGAGATGTCTTTGGGAACCTTCTGGGTGGTATACAATCATGACAGCAATTCTTAATGTGGAGAGTGAATTGATAGATTGAACTATATAAGTTAATGTGTCCAAGAAGTAGTTCTTTCAGATGCAGCCACAAATGCAGGAAAGGGGTATGAGTATGCATGTGTGCACACATCCCTGCATGTACAGACATTTGAATATTTCTGGGACTGGGCAATGTGGAATTTGTGTCATCCGTTTAAAATTATTCTAAAAAAAAGAATTTGTGCCATCCATTCATGGAGTTGATTTAGACTCAAAATGGATCATACTGTACTAGCAAGGTATGAGCAAAAACCCTTGGACAAGGTTACTATCCATTTCTCATTGTAATGATCCTTGGAGACAGACCCCCCCCCCCCAATTTTACTGAGATCTCTGACCAACCAAAGTTTCTTAAAACACAATCATAGATTAGACTGGCTGCCATCTAGCTACTGACCTACAGATCCGGTTCCATCAATGATGGCTGTGACTGTGGAAAGAGCTTTTGCATTTCCCTGGAGACTTTCATGAGTACCCTGATGTGGATAAGAGAAAACGAATCAACTAACAAATACAAAGGAAAAATAGCACAGATTGCACAGATTACAATTAGTATGGTATGCGTGCAATTTCACAGAGCTCAGAAATATCCTAAATTCTATCCTCCCACCATTCCATATGATTTGCCCATGGCTGTGAAAATGCTTAAGTTCTATTTATTTTGGGGACTGGCAAAGGAACGCGTTCTGAATCCCACAGGAAGAACTCAGTGCTAGAAACATTTACCAAGGTCTGGTAATTTATTTATTACATGTGCAATTTCTATGTTTCTCTATTTTTCGATAGAAAAAGGACTATCTTGTACAGGTCCTAGTGACAATTGCAATTCTTGCTACAACAAAAGTCCTCAGTTAGAAATGTATCAGTCTCAGCCAAAAATACTCGGACTAAAGATTTCTTTACATGAACAGTTGCTATGGAGAAGGATTGGCCCACAGGAGAATTTTGCAATCAGAAAACTTTCCAGAATATCTGGTGGATCACTGGAACTGCTTTGAATCAGATCTCTTCCAAGTTTCAAATCCCTTCCAAGTTTCAACTTCTATGGGTTGCTTTAAGCCAAGAATTTTCCTCCTCCTGAAGTTCACTCAGCCATGGTGTCGTGTTTATACTGAGTGCAAAGAAATTTCCTAGCTGTGCCCAAATAAATGAACCACTGTGCTGTGTATGTGAAATCTTATTCCACTGAGTCTGTTCCAGCCCAGGAATTTTAAAGCAGATGGATGCAAGGTGTATATGCACAACTACGTATATCAGCAGGCAGGGTGTCTCACATTTGATGCCAAACAAGGCCTGAACTACATATTACACTGATGCAGAGTCCTGCTTGGTGCTGGAGAAGACTCTTAAGAGTCCCCTGGACTGCTAGGAGGTCAAACCAGTCAAT